ATAGACACACACACAGAGACAAAAAAATCAGTCTTTATTTATATCCCACTAACACAAAAATTTTCATCTACAGCAGTATTGGGCTAGTAAATTCAGTTATGCATGTTGAATAAACTAAGTTTGCCTCTCTACACATACATGTTAGGGTTTCTATCTTAGCTAGATCAATTTTGTTGCCTTAGCTTTTCCAAATATGAATTCGTTGTATTTATCAGCAGTTATTACCTTCAGGATTGGGAATGATCATATTATGCAAATGACCCCATACAATAAGTCTTCTTAAGGATCCATTTTCCTTTAAGGGCAAGAGTTTTGGAAATAATAAGTATTTATAGTTTTTATCCTATTATCTGATTTAGCTGCCAACTATTCACTGAAGTAGTCTGTGTTTTCAGAATCTTTTCAACATTCTCTTCTTTGTTTAATTTTTAAAAGCGAATAAGGAGTAGTAAAAAGAAAACATTAGAAAGGATACAGAATTTCACTAAACAAAATGATAGAAATTTAACAATAGTTGTTATATTGATACTATTGTCTTCAAATTAATTCTTCAGATTACCAGATGAAAACTGGTAAAATGTTGATAATAAGAGAGAGAAAAAAATAAGCATTAACTACTTCTTTCAATAGACCTGCAAAAATCAACAATATAACTATCCAAGCCATCCTGCATATCTACATATATATTTCTTTTTCCCTTTCTTCTTTCTTTCTTTTTGTTTTCCCTCATTTTAGTTGTTCCTTAACTTTGAACAGTTTCTTTCTCCTTCACAGTATCTATTGTACTTCCAAGATTGTATTTACTCTTTTAGGTTCTTACACTAGGAGACATCTCTTCTGTTTAAGGTCAATAATACCTCATTGGGCTGTATATGTTAACAGAAAGTTGTAAGAACTGTGGTTTAAAATGAAACCGTGTTTGAGGCTGGTTCTGATAATCACTATGATAGATGGGAATTTGTCTCCTTTTCATTTCCTCTTTTGGAAGGTAAGGATGGTAAAAAAATGTGCTTTGTAGAGTTTCTTTAAAACTCAAATGAAAAAGTTTGTATAAGCTCTTAATACATCAGTGGTACTTACTGAGTCATCGTAATTTTTTTTTTTTTTATTTTGTCTGTTATTGTCTTCAGGTACAATGTTTTAGTGTTTTCTCTTCCAGTTGTTAGAAACTTTATTTAGGAACCATAGTCTCCTACCATCATGAATAAACAGGCTTGAGGTAATGTAAACAGTATTATCCTCTGCTATTTATTGGAGTACTTGGAAAGTATGGAAGGATAGCATTTTATCCCCCACCCAGACCTCTAATAATTTTGGGAGGAATGAAATTCATTTCTTTCACTTTGCACATAAAGATTTTCTTTTAAAAATATGATTTAGGACCAAAAAAATCAAACACTATGGTTGACTTTGATTGTTTATACATGACTATGGGAATTTAATATTGAGATCCAGTATCCTCAACTCATATAAAAAAGGACAGGTTTCCATCTCAGCACATCAACTCCAGTGTGCAAAATATATTAATTTCTTAATTTAATGTCACCTAATTATGAATTTGATATCCCATGCTGATAAGCTGACAGGGCATTCTACTTTTATTTTAATCTTTTACCTTTATTTTTTCTCTTTTTACCCCCCCACCCTCTTTCCTCTTCTCTCTAAAGTTAGAATTCAGAAGACTTTTGTGGTACCTAGAACCCAAAAGAGGGTCTCTGATTTTCAGTCTGTCATAGTAACTACATATATTTTCATTCAAATGAGTAGTAGTCTCTTGAAGTTGGGTTGATGTCTGCTTCTGTGGCTTTGCAGTCATGGGCAGCTCTCCCAAGTCTGGGAAACGTAGTGCATATATTTTACCTTTTTAGACCAAGTATGGTACTATCCACTTGTGGAGATGATGCCACAGAGAAATCACCTATTGTCTTGTCATTTCCTTCTAGTCCAAGGACTCTCTTTTCTTATTGCTTTATCTCTAAGGTGTCATCACTCGTGATATTTAAATATACAGATTGTTAATCTCCTCATATCCATTAAACACAAAGAATGAATAATTAGCAAACTAAATATTTCTTTTATTCGCCAAGAAAAAAAGGGAGAAGAAATATTTGAGTTTTGTCAACTAGTGTAGCAAAGACAGAAGATAAGCAAAACTATCAAATGTGCATATTAAAATAATCTGAATATTCATTTCTTGTTATATACACGAAGTGGTTAATATAACTTTGAATATAAAACTCATACCAAAACATTCTTTCATATTGGTCTGTGAGAATTGTTAATTAACACTAATTTTTAAGATTTTTATGACTATTAAGTTTATTTACGATAATAAACTCATCAGTTATATGAAAGCCCTTTTTGTGAAAGATTTAGAGCAATTACTTTTCATGTCTGCTGAAAATGACAGAACAGACTGTGATCTTGAAGAAAACCAGCAAGGGTTTAGTTTTTGTATAATTAAGTGGTTCAGAAGACAGTCTGGGGGGTAATCATAGCTAAGAGAAGGAGGATAAATGAAGTGGCCATCCTAGGAATCTCTCAAGTTTCTTATTGTGAGTCTCAGGTGTGGCGTGGTTCCATAGTCTACTGATGTCAGCCTAGCCTAGTGTTCAGAAAAATTATGCAAAACCAGGAAATGAGGCAAAAGGATATTTGCTCATCCTCCTGCTATTCCTGAAACATTGTCTAATAGGTCCAGGCAAGGAGATGTATGCTTGTTTTACTTATTATTTCCTGTTGACTAGGACACAGATACTGGGAAATTTCATATTAACTTGGAAATTATGATTTATTAGAAGCAAATGACTTCTGCCAGATCGAGGAGATATGAAAGGTTAGGGTCATATTGTCTGGTAAGGCAGTGAGGTTTTGTCTTATGTTGTAAACTCATTTTTAGCATCCTGTTTCTGAATGTATGCACCCATATTTCCCAAATTCTGCTTTACAAGTAGCAGTGGCATCTTTATGATTTCCTCATATATGACTTAAGTTAATCTTTTATTTGTGCTTATTCTAAACTTGTATGAGAGGGGCCAGGTGGATGTAGCTCAGTGGCAGGAGTGCTTGCCTGGTAAGAGCAAGTTCCTGAATTTGATTGCCAGTACCAAAAACCAAAGTTCTGCTAGAACCCTGCTTTTAGTTTTTTGAAGATCCTGTTTTTGCCATAGGGAGTTAAGGTCACTCATTTTCTGGAAAGTGTGTGTGTGTGTGTGTGTGTGTGGTGCCACAATGGTAGGAGACAACATTATTTT